AGAACATCTCAAACATATGTGATATATTGGTCTGCTATGATTCGACAATTCAAGCACTCCGCAGCAGGACTACACCTGATAAAACAAGATCAAATTCCAACCTCTCCAGCGCGAGAAGAATACGGAACTCATACTCCGTCAAATATGCCTATGTATGTCTTGCAGTGTCTGATTGAGCTCCCTTCAACGGTCATAGAAGCGGAATAATCATCATATATCTGTCTCTCACGTCTCCGCAGCTCGCCGCAACGCTCTTCACGCCTCACCTTGGCGAAGTCTTGGAGCCTAGCCAAACAGCTATGACTGTCATGCCACCAAACAAGTTCAAACCTCGGCAGTACTTCTCAGTCGTTAATTAAGGCCAATCATGAAGTATAAAGACGCTTCAAGCGTAGCGAGTATATCATGGGTTCTGCCGGGGAATCAACATATCACCTGACCGTCGAGAGTTACGGTCCCCAAGGGTATGCTCATTGGTATCTTCACAAACAGTAACAAACACCTCGCGATGGTGCATGGACTTATTACCGATAGCACAAAAAAAGGGCCGAAGATGACTGCACCTACGCAATCACAAACATCACAAACAACTTGGTACACGGCGTTATCAATATGTGAACATAATGCAAAAGACCAAAGCATAAACTCCCATTCTCGATCCATAAAAGATACTATCTAAGCGTATTGCGGTTGTTATTTTTGATCGTTTTCGTCGTTTAGGATTACCATAACATCGCTTCATACTGGTCGTGTTCATTCTGTCATTACTCATGCCAAGCAGGAATTCGAATGTTGCCGCCCTCCAAAGCATCGTGTCTCATTCCTAGGTCATCATTGCATTCTGAACGTGTCATGGGAGTTTAGATGCCGCCCATCGCTGGGTAGCATGTTAGTGGTGATCCATCAAATGAAAGAGACATCAACTTACCCGCAGCGTAGGCCAGGTACCATGTCAAGCTTGCGCCTCCATCGATCCAACCAGGGTCAAAGTTGGGGCTGTTGAAGAAGTCGAACGCAGTCTTCCCATCGATCGTCGCCAGGTTTCCATACAAGATTCCCCTCCATCCGCCGACGATGCTATCGACGCGGCCGTTACTAAAGTACACGTCCCATTCTTCTTTGACGAAGGCCGGGGTACGAACGAAAGGCGACGATGCAAGGAGAGGAATCATGTGGATGCCCTGGATGTATTCTATGTTAGCGCCGAAAAAGGTTGTGTGATCGACCTTGTTCTCGAACAAGATGCCGGCCACCTTGTTTCCGATAAACTGAGGTGGCTGCACGACATTGTCGCTCTTGTAGAGGTAGTATGACTGGAGGGAGCGAGCGATGACGGCGAGTTGAAGATTGCCGCGCATGGCCATGGTAGTGTCACCCGAGGCTTCTCCCCACATCTTGATGGCATAGGCGGCCATCATGTCCTCCGAACTTGACTCTTGGTTCTTTTGAATCATTAGTCATGGCATTCCAAACCCAGACAGGGCGCTCACCTTTCCATCATACGAGGCATACAGACCGTGTGCCCAGCTATGCCCGTGGTACCAGTCCATAGAGCGCCAAAGTGGGAAGTACGTGTCTTTGGTGCTAGGATTGGCAAAATCGCGCACCAATGCATTAACGTAAGCCTTATTGGCTTGCATCCATGTAGGATCCAGGTGCGCGATTGCAGCGGCTGCCAGGATGTGGTAGCCATAATGGAAGTGATGGTCGTTGTAGTATGTGTTGCCAAAGTCGGCGCCGTCATTGCCTGTTACGTATGTTGCTGAGGACACAACACCTCCCCACGCGCCTGTAGAGCTGTTAGCAAAAAGCGGCATGGTACGGCAAATCAAAACCTACTCTCGTATAAAAGAGGAAACTTCTGCTTGTTGTCCGCAAATCTGGCAAACGCTTCCTTCAGCCGGGGCAGAGCTGACTGGGCCAACCCCGTATCTTTCACAACGTCGTTTATGGCTACGATCAAAATAGCAAACTTGGCCAGTGCCTTTCCACTGAAGTACATCGAGTCCAGATCTGACTGCGCACTCATATCCTGAGACACCTCCTGGGTTGCTATCCCGCGGATTACGGTTTTCGCTTGTTCGGAGATGGTGGTGAGAGGACCTTTCTCGGGACTCCATGGAGCAAAGCCCATGCTGACGGGCAGGTTCGGCTCAACCATGGTCCATTGATCAGCCAGCACCAGCGTTCCGTTACCCTTGGTAGGGGTCTGGAGCAGAACTTGCTGAATTGCGGCCTTGGTCGTGGCGTCGAACGATGCGACGTGATGCGGCAGTGCGTACATGGCCAGCTTTCCATCCTGGTGTCCTTCCTTGGAAAACTTGAGGCTGTACGTGCCCGTGTTACCGTTGACGGAGCCAGACAAGGTGACCGTCGTAGGATAGACACCAGCTGCCTGATCAAACACCGCCTCGCCATTTCCAGGATCTTTGACAAGCTGGATGGATCCAAAGAAGGGCTTCGTTGATTGGGCCATTCCGTTGTTGACAACCTGTAGGTCCAATTGGTCTCCCGTGGTCGCGTATGCATACAGCCGCCAGATCTTTCCGTCTTCGAGTTGGAACGTGTACTTGGCGACGCCGGCCTTTGGGTCTTGGGTTGCCCGTGTAACAGTCCGGAAGAACACTCCGGTGCGGATCACAGGGGTAGCTCCAGAGTAGTTTGCCGTTACAAACGGCATCCCTTGAACCAAAGGAAACGAAATCGCAGGCACAGCTCCTGAATTCGGCTTCAGGTGGACTCTGGCGGAAAATGCTGTGACGCTGTCCATACCCACGGCTGTATCCGCCTCAAGTTCTTGGGCACTGATGACCATGGATTGAATGCCTACTGGGTTAATAAAATAGGACGCCGCCCCGGAGTCCTTGTTCGGGCCAAAGACCCTCTGATTCGCGTCGATATGAGAAATAGTCATGCCGTAGCTGGCGGCGGCTCCTTTCCCTGCACCCCATGCTATGGCGTACGGGTAGGTGTAAGTTGGTGCCGTTTGATCACCCAAGAAGAAATTGGCGTAGAACTTGTTGGTCTGGAGCGGCCCGCCTGATGTTATGCCCTTCCGCGGAACAGGGTGGTCGCTTCGAGTCGTGATAGATGACGGGGGCGCATCCGTGCCAATAGGCTCTGCAAAAAGATCTCCTGATGCCATGGGTGCAGACGGTAGTGGCGCTACGACAGTTCCCCCTGAAGTTGGTTCAATCAAGGTCGACGGAGTCGGAATCGGATCCGACATCAAAGGGCAAGTAGTGACCTTGCCTGCGGTGTCGAGATTGCTGTGTACGTCTCCGGTAGTTTGAGGGGTTTGACCAGTGAGTGATGGCAATACAACGACGTTTCCTCCAGATTGTGCGCTGGTGACGAATGGGGCGGAATTGGTGCCTGAAGCGGATCCCTGCGTTGGCTGGCTTCCTCTGGGAACCTGGACGGTAACGGTGTAATTGGTCGTTTCGGTAAGGCAAGTCAGATCGCGGCTGTCGAGTAGCAAAGGACGGATGCTGAGTTCTCCAACAGCTCTCGGCTCTCGGTCTGCAAGGTGAAGTCGTACGTGTTGTTGGTGGAATAGGGCGAGGGCGCTCTCGCAGAGGAAAACCTGTATAAGAGTCAGCCTAATGATCCCCATCTTGTATTTGAGGCCCGCCATTGCGGGATAACAATGATCTTATCGTGTTTGTGTATGTGATTCTCTTGATATCAGGCCGGTTATGGTAGCTTGACTTTGCGAATGTCGCGGTAAAGGGGCAAGAGATCATCAGCAGCCGCCCACGCTTGTGTGCGAGTGTTCCGGTTCAAATATCCGGCCCACGAGGAGAGCCATTGAGTCAACAATGAGAGCCACCGACGAAACGGCAGCATCATACCAGCGCCCTGAAGATCGAAGCCCAGAACTCGGCGGGGCAGCATCGTTACCGCGCAACAGTGGTGTGGACGGGGGGCGATAGGAATGCGAGAGTCTCAGAAACAATGGGCAAGTCTCACCTGGTAGGAATGCTGGTTAGTTTGCCCGGAAACTCGAAGTCGGATTGCAAAGGGGCGAGCTGTGTGATAAGAAGAGAGTCCGTTTTTAGGAAATGAGGGATCGTGATCGGACCAGCCAGGCAGGCGTTGGCGATGATCGTGTCTTGGTGATGCTGGATTCAGTATCCAAATACGATGGCCGGGAGACGTTGTAGGGCTGGGCGAAACAGGCTTTGTCAGAATCGAGACGGTAGGGGAGGCCGATCTTCAGAATATTTTAAAAGTTCAACTGCGAGGAGGGAGACGTTGTTGCTAGTTATATCGTTGCTTCATGCCCGTGCAAAATCATCAGATATTCTGAAGGGAAGGAAGTTTCGGCACACGACTAATGCTGCGAGACCGACCCTCTTTGGCTGACGCATGCCTGCCCTTGGCGTGGGTACCCTCCGGCATCGAACCTGCCGGTTCATTGGCAAGAAGAAGAAACATTCAATTGTGGTGATAGATGACAATTCACGGAGCAACCGGTCACTGGGCCTCGATCGCGATGGCATGCAACTTGGATCAAGGCTCGTTAGCAGACTACATTGCTTCTTGAAGAAGTCAGGTCGAGCGGGGTCGCATCGGGCCGTTCTGAGGCCATGACGCAAGCCCACTATCGCCAACACATGTAGGATGGGAAACGGGTAGCATTTACAACTCCATCATCCTCCTTGACCAGGTTGAAGTTGAGAAGTTGACGGTTTATGTGGATGTTGTTTTGAGATTGAGGTGTAGTAAGCCCGGTGTGACCAGGTCCCAAGCTCCAGATCAGCACCTTGGCCGGGCTTGGCGATCATAAGACTGGCGTCCCTCATGACCAACTGAGGTCTGATCCAATCCAAGAAAAGGAATGACTGATTCCAGAGGCGGCAAAAGTGATTTGACCTGAGAAAAACTGAATCGTACAAGCAGTACTCATTGGTTGATCATAATCCGTACCATGGACCCAAATACATTTCCCGGGTATCAAAAGCAAAGCCAATAACTCCATAGCGCCGTTTCCCACATCAAAGGCCAAGGGCATTGTACTTGCCCCTCATGTTCTCGTCTAGAACATGTCGTAGTAGTGTAGAAGATGGTCCTGCGCCTCGCTCTTGTGCCTTCTGGCTCTTCCTCATCTTGTGGTACCGATATCGATTCGCGACTTCTGCTTCGGCGGCAGCCTTGCGTCGCTTCTCTTCCTCTTCGGCGGCCCGCTTCTTCTCTTCTCGCCTCTTCTCCTTCTTTCGTCTTCTTCTCTCATCATCATCGCCGTCCTCCTGCTCCCTCTTGCACCGCCGTATTTGCTTGTCTGTGAGCACCCATGGCTCTAGGAGGACCTGGTTCCGGAACTGCGTGCGCCGCTCCCATAGCGCAACTTCTTGCTCCGTGGACCTTAGAACCTTGACCTTGTCAATCTTGATCTGCATCTCCTCGCGAAACGTAGTCAGGCCGCCCTTGATGTCAAGCACCGAGCCCACGTCGACGTCCACGCAATCAGCCCGTGGCAGCGGCTGAGGCCTCAGGCCGAATTGCCCATTCGGCTGGCCCTGGGGGGCGGAGGGAGGTGTCTTCAGCATGACAGTGCATTCGATGCAGGCGCCGCTGCTGTCGTCGACCGTATATATGCGCCGGCCCGGGTAGTCGTCAACTGCGACAACGATGCCAACAACGCGAACCCATTTGATCGGGAGGTTCCTGTAGAAGTAGAAGTCCTGGGCTGAACAGTGTGTCAGCTTGGAGGTGTGTGCAAGACTGCTGTAATGCGCGGCAAACGGACCTTCATAGTCTGGAACCGATACCAGGCGATGGATATCGGATACGTGCATCAAGCACCATGTGTTATGAGTGGGAGAGAGCTCGAAGCAGTAGCGGGGGTAGAGGCCCGGAGACGAGTCGCCCGTCATGGCATGATTAGTGGAAATCAAAACGCTCCAGCCCGGAGATTTTCGACCATTATTCTGTTACGATATCGTGGTGAGTCGAGGGCGGTCGATCGGAACGGAGAGGACGCGTCGCGTCGAGAAATGTGCCTGTCACCGGCGAGTTTATTTTACTGAGGGAAGCCAAACTTTAGGTGGTTGACCTGGGGATGTCTTGCAGGGTCGTTAGTGCCCCGCATTGTGGCAGGTACAGTGCAGCGTGCGGCTGTGCCTACGCCGCGCCTCACAGGGGAGGACGGCGCAGCAGGCAATGAAACCCATTCGACTTTTCGCGGCTGCAAAATACCAAAGCAAAGATTGAGCTCAAAACGATCTTATTTTCGTGATATCAAGTTTACCAACTCCTGAGGCCCATATGACGAATCCTGACCAACCCATAACCTCGTATCCAGTGTATCCCATACCCTGTGACGCCAGACCAAACACGCTCTGTCTATCGCCTCGATTTTCTGCCTCCCTTTGCAGGCCTACTCTCATCAGCCTTAGGCTTTTTCAGACGTGCGGCTGCAGCCTGGAAAGCCTCCTCTGATGGCTCCTCCTCGACAACCGCCCTCTTCTTCCCCTTCTTGGGCTGGCTTGTCGCGCCGTACTTGGCAGCCAGGTCGTCCAAGAAGCCAGCACGCTTTGACTGGTTGCTCTTGATGAGCGCCGCAAGGTCATCTTCACCACCGTCCTTGCCCTTCTTCTTGCCCTTCCCCTTCTTGTCGCCAAAGAGCTTGTCGTGAACACCCAGCTCCTTGGCGTACTCCTCGGCCTCATCGGCCTCGCCCTTCGCCGCCTTGATGCGGGCTGCCTTGGACAGCTTGCTCTCCTTGGTGTACCTCTTGTACGCTGTCACATCCTCTGTTGCGATAGCTTCATCGATGATCTTGCGGAAGCGCTCGTCGTCCTCGAGAACATTGCTCAGCATCACCGTCTCGTAGATCTTGTCCATGTCCCCCTTTGCTTGCTCGTAGGCAATCAAGACATCATCCTTCTCCTCATCCGAACCCTTGTATTTCTTGGCGAATTTCTCAATAGCGTCGGCAGAGATCGCATCGCGGAACTGTTCGCGGTAGTAGTCGGACCAGTTGAAACCCTCCGAGTCGATGATGGACTCGGAGGTAGACCCCGTCGTGTCATAGCGCTTGCGCCGGGCAGGATCTGAAAGGATGGCGTATGCGAAAGCGATGGACTGGAACTTCTCCTTGGCCTCATCTCTTTGGTCGTCGGGGACCTTGTCTGCAGAAGAGTTCTTGTCAGAACGAGCTTTGAAAGGCCCCATTGAAGATTAAGGTATTCATACCGGGATGGTTCTTGAGCGCCGCCTTGCGATATGCAGACTTGACTTGATCGGCCGTGGCTTCGCGGTTGAGTCCGAGAGTCTCGTACGGATCAATGACTGGAAGCTCGCTCTCCACGAGATCATCTGACGCGGGGGAGGACATTTTGGAAGAGTCGATGACAAGGACGCACTGGGTTGATTTAGGACTGAAAGCGAAGCTTTGCAACGCGCTTGGAGCTGATCGAGACGCGACAGCTAAAGTGGTGGGTAAGGCTTGTGCATGCGTGACTGGACCATCTGGTGAGCCGTGCACGACAAGCTAAGTGCCTGGGATGGTCGGGGACCGGCGAGTGCAGCACCGACAGCTCCAAGACCTCTGGTAACCCCTCCCCCTCCATACGACTGGATCGCAGGTTACCTCATCTTTTTTGTATTGAAGAGGTCGCACAACATCGGCGGAGGCGCTATATTGCTGTTTGAGATCTTGACCTGACATCGCATCCCGCAGCAGAGCAGTTTTGAGCTCTCCGCCCTCGAGCCATGACATCAGAGGTTGATGCCATTGAACCAGCGCCGATAGCGCCTGGCGATCACAAAGCTTACCTGCAGTATGCCCTCTCTCTGGCGAAGCAATCACCGCCAAAACCTACCAACTACCGCGTCGGGGCAGTCCTCGTCAACCCTGCAAGCAATGCCGTCGTCTCAACGGGATATACGTTGGAGCTGCCCGGCAACACCCACGCCGAGCAGTGCTGCTTCATGAAGCTGGCGGAACAGCATGAGGTGGCGGAAGAGGAGCTTGGCTCGGTGATCAAGACACCCCTCGTTCTTTACACCACCATGGAGCCGTGTTCAGTGAGGTTAAGCGGGAACCTGCCTTGCGCCAAACGGATTCTTCAGCTGCGGTCCGTCATCAAGGCAGTGTACGTCGGTGTACAGGAGCCCGAGAAATTCGTCAAGGACAACACGGGACGGGCGGCTCTTGAGAGGGCAGGTATCGACTTTGTCCACATTAAGGGGCTGGAGGGCGACATTCTGAAGGTGGCGACGGCAGGACATGTGAAGACGCCAGCATAAGCCAGCTTCCTGACATTACGCCAGGTGGTGGTTGTTCGTTCTCACGATCGCGTAGTCAGAGACCAACACAGCACATTGGTGGCACTACATGCAACGGTCCGCTGCCAGTTCCTACCTGTGCAGATGACAGCGCGGGAACCAGCCATGGCGGCAAACGGGCAACCGCCAATTCCTGATTGACTGTTGTCATGTCATGCTACCCGCCAGCAAGAAGTGGCTAGCTCCAGGGTAATCGCCCTGCAGTACAGGAAAGGAGCCAGAGAAGTGAAGTGGGAGAAGAAAAAAGCAGGACCAAAGGAGCGGTGTGTCCGCAATGGGAAAAGAGCCAGCAAGGAAAAGCAAACGGAACGATTTCGTCACTGGCTTGGTCCAGCTCGCGTTGCAACGTGGTCTACGGCTGTTCTTAACACACAATGCCATGAATGCTGCTGGATTTTCATCATTCAAGACGGTTTCTCTGCAATTCGACAGCAACTTGCTCCAAGCATCATCGTGAGAAAACAAGGCCTGTTCTATCGCCTCCACGTGCAGACTGTTCGGTGCAGTGAGACAACAACCCTCAACTACAACTCGAGCACAAGGTACCTCCCTCGCTGCAGGGTGCACAAGTTGCGGCGGGTTTCCAGGGGCTTGGGCCCGATAAGGTGCCCGGAAAACCACCATCTGCCGCTGAAAACGACACTGGGGGCCCTGGGTGCGTTGCAACCCTCCCGCCTCATCTGCGCCAATTGGGAGCGTCCCTGAGCCAACAACTGGTGCATCAGGGCTGGTTTTGTGCACTCCCCCACGAGACGACATAAAAAGTTGCCATAGAGACAATTGGCATCTGTCATTGGTAGATCTGCCCATGACGGAGCCCTGCCAGAACACATTGGTTTGCACAACCGCTTATGGAGGGCCTTTTTTCTTTCCATTTCCCTCTGGCTTTACTTATCAAGGTGCTGCCCAGTGGCTGCTGAGAGCAATGCCGCAGTACCTTAGTTAGCTACCTGCTCTTATTGGCGTGCATGTGAAGGTAGACAGACATGCGAAGTGCTGTGCCCATGAGCATGTTGGCGGTAGAGGTTACCTTTCTTTGCACCTGTTTGCTCCGGGGCGGATGACGATGAAGTTTCGCTCCTCATTCTCTCCCTTGTTCCCTCATTCCCACACACCCAATTGCTCTTTCCTGGACAGGTACCAATATCCTCAATACCCTATCCTGAACCAATTCCAATCTTCATCTCTGTGCTCGTCGGCGTCCCCTCTTGCTCTCTCATCCTTCCCATCCTTCCCTGCCCCCGTTGTTCAGTGTGTCTTTAACTTTATGCTCCATTCCATTTGACCTCGTTCCCCACCTCGACTGGACAAGGGTTCGCTGTCTGTGTGCAAACATCGATCTCTGCCCGTACATCTCCTGTTCCAACGACATCCGATACCTTACCAAGTCTTACTGCCATCGGAGTCTTACCATCAAAGTAGCTCCCGGCTCTCTGCATCCACTTTGTCTGGCCGGCCTCCGGCATTCTCCACCTCGTTTGTCTGTTTGCCGTTTCTGGCCACCCGACATCAGTCTTCATCAGCCTGCCGTCTGTGCTGGCGTCTGGCGTTCACCACGTGCTGCTTGCTCCCTGCCCGTGAACAAGTATTATCCCCAATATCCGTTCTTACTTGGGACATAGTTTCCTCTCTTCTCTCTTTCTACCACGCCTGAGAGTTCTTGTTAGCCAGCACACATTGCTAGTTCAGAGAGACACTCGCTTTTGTTGAAGCTTTTCACGTCGACATGGCGGATTCAGGACGTGGGGGCCGCGGCCAGGGCCGAGGAGGTCGCGGCGGTGGTGATCGCGGTGGTCGCGGTGGTGGTCGTGGAGATCGTGGCGGTGGTGATCGCGGTGGACGTGGTGGTAGCTTCCGTGGAGATCGCGGTGGTGGTGGAGGTGGCTTCCGTGGAGATCGCGGCGGCGGCGGCGGCGGCTTTAGAGGAGACCGCGGCGGCCGTGGCGGCAGTTTCGGCGGCGGAGGTAGAGGTGGTGATCGTGGTGGACGTGGTGGTGGTAGAGGAGGTCGTGGCGGTTTCGCTCCTCGTCGTGATGCGTTCGAAGGCGAAGCTTGCACCTTCTACGGGTACGTTGGACGTCTTTCAGCTCTATCTCAGTAACTAACACCTCTCAGACAAGGCTCCACCATCCGCCAGCCTGATGCCGATATCACCAAGCTCGAGGACAAGATTATCCAGAGTCACCAGTCCAAGGACCAGGCCCTCGTCAAGAAGATGAGTAGCATGAAGCTCGCCGATTCCAGCTCGGCCTCCCTGATGCCCCGCCGCCCTGCCTACGGTACCAAGGGCAAGCAGATCATCGTCTGGGCAAACTACTTCCGCCTGAGCGTCAACCCCATGGTGCTGTACCGGTACAACCTCGAAGTCCGCAAGGGTGAGAAAGAGGACGCTCCGCCCGAAGAACCGCAGGTCAAGGGCAAGGGCAAGGGCAAGCCTCCGGCTGGCTCTGGCGATGGCGCTCCTGCTGCCATTCCTGCTCGGAAGCTCAAAGTCATCCTGCAGTACGCTCTTGCAGAGCTCAGGAAGCTTGAGCCCGACGCCGTTTTCGCAACCGAGTTCAAGTCCCAGCTCGTCTGCCTCAACAAGTTGAGGCTCGTTAAGAACCCCATCATCGTCAAGTTCAAGAACGAGAACTCCAGCCGTGAGGAGTTGTACAACGTCAAGGTCGTCGGCGAGACAGAGGCTCCGTTGGCTGCCATGGTCCAGTACCTCCAGACCATGGTCGATACGAGCGACCCAGACGAAGTGCACTTCCCCCGGTTCGCGACCTCCATGGATGCCCTTGGTGTCATTCTCGGCTACACCCCACGGCTGAACGACCAGGTCACTGCTATTGGCAAGGGCCGGTTCTTCCCGTGGGGTCCCGGTTCCGCCACGGCACAGCTCGGCTCCCAGGATCCTCTCACAGCCATCAGAGGTTTCTTCCAGAGTGTTCGTCTCGGCACCGGCCGCACCCTCTTGAACGTCAATGTCACCCACGGTGTGTTCAAAACCGATGTCCGGATCAGCGACCTTTGCAAGTGGTTTGGCGTTGACGTCTTCGGTACCGGTAATGTCCGCGCCCACAACGAAGCCAGAGGAACTCTGCGCACCTTGTCCAAGTTCCTCGCCAGGACTCGCGTGACCATCGAATTCCGCACCGGTGACGGCAAAAACGTCATCGCCAAGAAGGCGATCCAGGGTCTCGCGTGCAAGCACGACCTCTCCAGGCCTCCTATCGACAGCACCGTCTTCTTCACCAAAGACTTTGCCTACGGTGGCCCCTCGGAGGTCAAGTTCCAGCTGGAGCCTGAGGAGGGCCAGACTACGGTCATGGGCAATAAGCCGCCTGGTGCCTATTCAGTTGGGCAGTATTGGCAGTGGAAGTACAAACAGGCTCCCGACAACACCTTGCCGCTGGTCAACCTCGGCACGGCCGCCAAGCCCATGTTCTTCCCTGCCGAACGGTGCACCATCGTTGCGGGCCAGGCTGTTCGTTCCAAGCTTACCGGTGACGAGACTACCATGATGCTCGACTTTGCTTGCCGCTCTCCTTTTGCCAACGCCATCTCCCTCGAGCGTGATAGCGCAGCGGCCTTGGGCTTTGACGAGCCGATCCTGCAGCAGTTTGGTCTGTCGGTTGACAAGAGGCTCTTGTCTGTCATCGGTCGTGAACTGATGCCTCCAATCGTCACCTACGGCAATGCCAAGACTCTCCAGGCTCGCAGTGGTTCTTGGAACATGAGTGGCGTCAAGTTTGCCAAGGCAGGCCCCCGGATCACTAACTGGAACTGGGTCCGCATCGTTGACACTGGAAACCCCAGGATCTCTACCGACGAGGTCGCAGAATCCGTTCGGCAATTTGTGGCATTCCTGAACACCAGTGGGGTCGCCATTGACACTCAGGCTCCAAATACCGCTCATCAGATCAATGTAGGTCGCGGCAATGCCACTGAGGACATCAGGAGAGCCTTCGCGGCTATCGACGCGCACACTAAGAAGGATAAGGGTAGCACCAAGAACTTCTTCCTGCTTGTGATCCTGCCAAGGCAGGATACCGCCCTCTATGGCGCCGTCAAGTCTCTCGCCGACACCCAGTTCGGTTTCCACACCGTGTGCTCCGTAGAGAAGACGTTCCTCAAGAACAACCCCCAGACTTTCGCCAACATTGGTCTCAAGTGGAACCTGAAGAACGGCGGCAACAATCACCTGGTCAAAGACACAAGCGACATCATCACTTCGGGCAAGACCATGATTGTTGGGTACGACGTCACTCACCCGACCAACATGCCTAACGACAAGAATGCCGCGCCCAGTCTTGTCGGCATGGTTGCGAGCGTTGACAGGGACCTCGGACAGTGGCCGGCCGTTGCGTGGGAGCAGGGTGCTCGCCAGGAGATGCTTGGCGAGGAGCTTGTCGAGCATTTCAAGTCTCGCTTGGTCTTGTGGCGCTCGCGCAACCAGGGCAAGCTTCCCGAATTCATCGTCATCTACCGCGACGGTGTCTCTGAGGGCCAATTCACCCAAGTTCTCACTATCGAGCTGCCCATGATTCGCAAGGCGTGTGCCCAGCTTTACCCGTCCGGACAGCGCCCTAAGCTATCCATCATCGTGTCCGTCAAGCGCCACCAGACGCGTTTCTATCCTTCTTCTGACCAGAACATGGACCAGAAGTCGCGCAACATCAAGAGCGGCACGATTGTCGACCGCGGCGTCACTCAAGCTCGTTACTGGGACTTCTTTCTGACGGCTCACACGGCTCTCAAGGGCACTGCTCGCCCTGCTCACTACACTGTGCTCATGGACGAGATCTTCAGGGAGAAGTACGGTGTCGGCACCGCGGCCGCAGACCAGCTGGAGAAGCTCACGCACAACCTGTGCTATCTCTTCGGCCGTGCCACCAAGGCGGTCAGCATTTGCCCGCCGGCCTACTACGCAGACATTGTCTGCGACCGAGCCCGTGTCCACCGTCCGGATCTCTTTGATGTTTCGGACGTGGCATCCACAGCCACGGGCGTGTCCCACGGCACCACGCCTTCGAACGTGATCCAGGTTCACCCCAACTTGCGGGACACTATGTATTACATTTGACGAGGATCATGAATTAGGACCGCTGAGTTCGATCAGCGATTGGACACGATGAAAAGCGATTGATGGCAACCTTTTTGGACTAGGTTTTACACAAAACGGATATCATGGAGTGTAGGGTAGTCACATAGCATACACTGATAGCGAAAACACAGCAGCGTTTTGCCTGGAACTCGACTGCTCAATCGTGTCACGGCGAGGTCGGTGGTTTCGGCCGAGCCCGGGGTTGAAGCCGGACCGGGGCCGGTGCAATTTCATTGGGCTCACATTGACGTCAGTGGGGTGCCGGAGGGGGGTCCCAGCATGAGGGGCAGAGCTGCTACGGCGGGGTAGGAGCTGTTACTGTGCTGACAAAATAGAAGTGACGAGACACTGGAGCATTTGAGGAGTTCGTCATGCACTTTTTTATGTCCGAAGAAAGGCCCCATCTTTGAAGCTTCCATCTCCGAGCTTGTTCGAGCGGCATCCCACAAACCACTTCACCAGCTTCTATGAACTCCTTCAGAGCACTTCAAAGACTTAAGCTTATCCAAAACACCCTCATTGTCAAGCCTTTTGGTGAGAACTCAGTCTCGTCTCTACTGCATGCGCCATCATCTTCTTCTCTCTGACCTCGTCTTATTTACGCTCAGGACGAACCTATCAATTTGCAACCATGGCTGCCACCACAGACGTCAAGAACTACAAGTTCAATCACTCGATGTGAGCCTTGCATACTCACTTGTCTGCCAGCCTGAAGATCTGACCGAATGCCAGGATTCGAGTGAAGGACCCCAAGCGCTCGGGTACGCACTCATAGTCTGTCCTCGTGTCTCTAACCCGCTAATGGCCCCCTCAAGTCAAGTTCTACGAGACGCTCGGCATGTCCGTCATCAAGGAGATCAAGCAGCCGGAGGCCAAGTTCGACCTCTACTTCCTGGCCTACGACTCTCCCAAGGCCGCCTCCGCGGGCAACAGCACCTTTGACCGCGAGGGCATTATCGAGCTCACGCACAACTACGGCACTGAGGACGACGCCGAGTACAAGATCAACAACGGCAACACGGAGCCCCACCGCGGCTTCGGGCACACGTGCATCAGCGTCGACAACATCCAGGCCGCGTGCCAGCGCCTCGAGGACGCCGGGTACGCGTTCAAGAAGAAGCTGACCGACGGCAGGATGCGCCACATTGCGTTCGTCCTGGACCCGGATGAGTACTGGGTTGAGATTATCGGACAGAAGCCGATTGAGGAGACGGAGAGCATCAAGACGACCGATGTCACTACCTACAGAATGGTACGCGGGAGCTGTGATTTGGGAAAGAGCTGGCACTGACGAATGACAGAACCACACCATGCTCCGCGTCAAGGACTACGAGAAGTCTCTCAAGTTCTACCAGGAGGTCCTGGGCATGACTCTGATCCGCAAGAACGAGGCCAGCGACTTCACGCTCTTCTTCCTAGCCTACGGCGACCTGAAGGAGGGCGAGAGCCAGGCGCAGCGCGAGGGTATCCTCGAGCTCACCTGGAACCACGGCACCGAGAAGGATGAGAGCTTCAGCTACCACAACGGCAACGACCAGCCTCAGGGCTTCGGCCACATCTGTGAGTCACGGCGGAACATGAAAACGTATCGGGAATGAGGGCTAACACGAGCTAGGCGTCACTGTTGACAACATCGATGCCGCCTGCGCCCGCTTCGAGGACTTGAAGTGCAACTGGAAGAAGCGTCTCACCGACGGCCGCATGAAGAACGTCGCTTTCCTGCTGGACCCCGACAACTACTGGGTCGAGGTTGTGCAGAATGAGAAGTTTGCCGGCAAGGAGAACTTCTAAGTTTATTACTTTCGAGCCACAAAATTGCGACGTTAGGGACTGTGTTTTGCGGGTGCGGGATTGGCGTTCACTGAGAGACAACGGGCGGGCGGATGAGCGATTGCATGGGTGAGGCGGATGAAAAAAAAGTCGAGGTTGTCTTCTGAGCCGTTCCAGGCGTGTAGCGTACCTAGGTCGTACTCATTCGGAGAACACAGAATCCCGAATAGAGGCCATCGTAAGCAAATGAAATCAAGCAATCAATCATCTGTGCGGTTCACATTCCAAATCGCAGTGAGCTGAGGTGTGGCGATGCTGAAGGATGCTGTGAAAATGAGCTGTGACCCCCTGTCCGCAATGGAATCATGATGGAATCCCCCACTGATTCCATGCTGTGGCGCCAGAGTGCATCCCGTGTGGCGGTGACACCCCGCCAAAAATCGTTGACGCAACACCATCCCGCGGTGGCCACAGGCCCTGTAAAGCCGCCCCGTTCCAGCATCCCGGGCCTCCGATTTGTCACTGCCTCCCCCCATTGGAACATCATCCCGTCTTCAAACTGCACCCTCACCGATCGCGCATAAAACCTCACCAAGACCCCCACCACCACTCACATTCTTGCTTCTAGTCAAGCTTAAACGTACTCACTCACCAGAATCTCAAACCTCTGGTGATAGTTCCGAAATCAGCAACTACACATTTGGGAGAGTCTTTGCAAATGCGATTCTCACCCTTCATCTCAACCATTGTCTACACCTTCTCCAGCCTCACCCGTCCCCGTGTCGTCTCCGCCGCCGCCTCATCGGTACAGCAACCGTTCGTCACCCGCCCGCTGCGCGCTTCTATGCCGAGTATCCCCTTCCTTGGAGCTCTGTTCGGGTCGTCTTCGCAGGACAAGATGTCGTATCCCGATAAGAGGACCGATGACGAGTGGAGGGCTGTTTTGAACAAGGGTACGCCAACCTCTTTCTGATTATCAACAACTCACTCTGCATGAGATCACATCACTAACCCTCCCCCAAAGAACAATTCCGCATCCTCCGCCAAAAGGGCACGGAGGCCCCCGGCTCCGGCACGTTCGACAAGCACTACCCCTCGGAGGGCGTCTACGCCTGCGCGGGGTGCTCGGCGCCGCTGTACAAGGCCAACCACAAGTTCAAGTCGGGCTGCGGGTGGCCGGCGTACTTCGACTCGATCCCCGGCGCCGTCGTGCGCCACGAGGACCGCACGCTGGGCATGGCGCGCACCGAGATCGTGTGCGCTAACTGCGGCGGCCACCTGGGCCACGTATTCAAGGGCGAGGGCTTCGACACGCCCACCGACGAGAGGCACTGCGTGAACAGCGTCAGCCTGACGTTCTCGGCGGAGGACAAGGGGGAGGGGGCGGCGGAGGGTGGCAAGGTTGAGAGCAAGGCTTGAGTGATTATGTTAAGTACTCTGGGAATGGGACGGGAGTTGATGAGTCGGTGGTTCGTGTTGTGATTATGGCTTACCCAGGGGCGTTGGTGTGTGTGGACAGATTCATCTGAGAAGAAGAGTTTTTGAGATAGTCAATCTGTAAGGCTCAGTGCGGATTCCGCAGAAAGATATTCACGTTGCAAGACTTCAACTTCTGAAAGTGTTACGTCTATTGTAGAACATGAGGTATACTTCCATTTCGACGCACCGTGTCTATTACTATCATTAATACGTTTCTCGTATAGCGTGCAATCGTAACAATCGTGACATGAGCTCCTGCAAATCCATTATGTCCTCGTCAAATTCTCCCATCATAAATGCTGTCTGGCATGGGACAAACTTCGTTTCCTCCACACATCGCTGCAGCCAGCTTCGCCAGTGGGATATCCATAGCCCCTGGGCCGTAGCGGGCGACGGCTTCATGGCATGACTGCCTATTTCTCTGTAGCATCTCTGCAATCACCTGCTGCAGTGTTTCGGGCCGTGGGTCTTTGCACCATTTGTCATAACCGTCGTCGCCAAAAAGGTTTGTTTTCCACAAGAGCGTCGACTTCGCGACGAACAAAGCTGTGTCATCAACACGGGGCGATTGCCGTGTTTCTGCTGGGATACTATCTTGAACAAGTGGATTTGTATATTGCATAGAAATGTCCTCATTCCTTGCAAACGCCGACGGCGACTCTCTGACATGAGCATGTTCGAGATCATTGCTAAGAGTCTCCACGATGTCGTCGGTCGGGAATTCATCCCCACTGATCGAAACTGGTTTGAGAGTCTTCCGCTGAACCCCCTGGGATGCTGGAGTGGGCATCCTAGGCAGCGGGATTGGAGTTGTTGAGATGAGCCTGGATGGCACATCAGACTTCTGCTTCTTGGAGGCGGCATCTTTCACTTCATCTTCGAGATTTCTTTTTGTGGTCCTCAAAGTGATTTTGGTTTGCTTCTTTTCAGCCGGGATGTCCCTTCCGGATGCTGGTAGCACTGGCGGTTTCGACCGATTGGTGATCATGGTGCTGCTTCTGCTGCCAATGTCGGCATTCGAATCGCTACTTTGGTCTGCGACTTGAGACTGGGTCGGCTTCACTGAAGCTGACCGTCGGAAGGGGAGTTTTCGAGGTGGAGGAAGACCCTCCAAAGGATCAGTGGTCATAGGTCGTGGCCGACTAGAAAGGAATTCCTCGACAGACGTAAGACCACCGCCGCCGGAGCTGAGCTCCTGGCTCAAAGCTTGCCGGGGTTGCGACGATGACTGAGATTGAACGGAGGCTTGGCGATGAGGCGGTTGAGAAAAGTAGCCAGAAGAGGCTTGACTAGCTGCGGGAGCGACTGATGTGGCTCTACTCTCGTTGATCCTTGAGAGGGTACTGCTTGGTCTCTGTGCCAACCGAGATGGGGGGTGAGGACGAGAGGGAGGCCGAGTATGTCCGGCGATATGGCTATGACCAACTGCAGACCTGCTGCTGCTGATGTATGACTCTGAAGATACAGGGGTCACGCTGCTCTGACGAGAGTGTCTATGGTCTATGGCCGACCTTGGCCTGGCATCGGAGGGGGCTTCGCTCATGCCTCTGTGAAACGGTCTGGGCTGAGATGCCAAGCGGCCAGCGAATGGCTCCGGACGTCTGAACACGGGTTGAGAAGTGCGTGGTGCCGGCTGAAGTGCTCTTGGAGGTAGGTTCAGATCCCCAAAGTCCTTTAGAACGTGGTCAAAGTCTGCAGGAATCTTGAAAACCAAGCAAACTTGGGTCTGCGTTGGGGTATCGTCCTGACCAAGGTCAGTCCTTCTCTGTTACAACTGTCACTGTTTTTGATGTCTTCCGGCGTCGTCGTCGTCCTTACTCACCTCTATCGTCTCCCATCGGATGACGAGACGCAATGCATGGTCGTCACGGCACAGCATGTAGTTGCGGTCTGGGAGCCTGGACCCGTCGAAGCTCCCAAAATTGAGCTTCTACAAGCTTCTCAGCATGGAAAACCCCCACTGGACCTTTCAGCTTACCAGTGAGCCCCCATGCTTGGGTACAACAAGTACGTAATCCCTCTGTTGAGGTGAAGGCTTGTGCAATAGACTCTGGCTAGAAAGCAGCTCCTCCAACTTCACCCCCAAGATGCAGTTGCCTTGGTCAGATGCAGTAATCCACTGGGGTGATATGTGAGAGACCCTTTTCATCAGCTGGGAGCGGCGTAGGCCAAACTCCCAGCGGAGCGCCTGGGGAGGCATGTCCGGCAAGGTCCACGGATAGGGAGGACGACGATAGCGTAGAGAAAGGACAAGGATGATGACAAAGGCAGGGAAGGATGAAGGTAGGTGACCGAGGAAGGGGAAAAAAGGAAATTGAAAGATAAGAGAAATGGTTGGGAAAGAAAGGGCGAGCATGACTTACACCAGATCTCCAAGCCTAGGGCAATACCTAGCTACCTACCTTAGCTGCAGGGGTCCTTCCCCATCAGTCAAGCAGGATCGTGGGGCAGGCAAGTGCAGCTCAGATTGCGCTAACCCCACTGGGGAAAGCATAGTCCACCCTCTGCGGTCTTATCAGGGAGCTTCGAGTCACGTGATGATAAGCTCAGCAGCGACAGGGATTTTTCCAACGTCCAGTCTGTCGCGAAAACACGGTTGGTTTGGTTGGTTCCAGTCTCCGGCGCATCACCGACCGATCGCAAAGGGCCCCGAACCTGCGCGACAGCACCACCAACCCCTCGCCCATCGTGCGTTGCATTTCCAAAAAAATCCCACAACCGGCACCTACACTTCAATTAAACACGCGTAGTTCAACTGCCGAAACACAAACCGAGCGCGTTTGCGACAGCTTCTGGAACCTCGAGGCTCTCCTGCAGCCTGTCCTGGATCTCCACACGAAGGAAACCCAAGACTTTCAAACAGCTAGTTAGCCACCTGCATTTCTCACGATTGTAGGATTGTAGCATATTCTAACAATTCTTTCACAGGTCCCACCCCGCGAAGCCGACCATGGCACCCTCGAAAGAACCGGAGAAGGAACCCGAAGTTCCCCTTCACTCCATCAGCCGAACACCAGAGTACGAGGATTTCATGAACAAGCTGAAAGCATACCACAATGAGCGTGGGACTACTCTTGAGGCCGAGCCTAAGGTCGGACCGGTCTATCTCGATCTGTTCAAGACATACACCCACATCTGCGAGAATGGCGGTTACGACAAGGTGTCCGATGAAAAGCTGGCCTGGCGTAGGATGGCAGAACAGTTGGGCATTCACTCTTCCAACGTTGCATCGACTGCCTTTTCCCTGAAGGAAAAGTACTACAAGAATCTTGCTGCCTACGAGATCAAGTTTCATCATGGCAAAGAGCCTCCCCCAAAGGATATCTTGGAGGACGTGTCAGCCAAGGGTGGAGGCCTGTTGATGCGTACAAGGGAGAACTTCCGCGGCAAGCGCGAAAGCGGCACTGTTGGAGACTCTGCGGCGGCCTCTGGCGATGATGCCACCCCTTCTCGAGAGCGGCCGACCCCAGACGCCCCCGCTCCTTCCAGCGTCAGAGCCTCCCGAGGTTTACGTGAAGCCCCCCCTCAGAGAGTCATCTTCCAGCCGGACACCGGCCCGTCTAGGCCGACGCGCCATGCCTCTGGTCAACAGCCTGGCCATGTAGGAACGCCTACTTCTGCGGGTCAGCCCGGTGCTCACCATGGCCTCCCGCAACAAGTACAACACACTCCAGTTCCACTTCCGCACCAACCACGTGCGGCTCCAAGGGGACCAAGCAGCAGCTTCAACCCTGCCAATAGTGAAAACACGTCATCGGCACTTGACGCTTACATCCCCAGATCATTGCAGCCGCCGCCGCAGCAGCAGGTCCTCGCCATGCGACCAGTTGAGACTCCCAGCAATAATCCCGAAGAATTTGCCCGGCGCCGGCAGGTGGCTCGTTCTCTTCTTGAGCCGCCTCGTCGTACAGGACCCCATCCCGGTGGTATGTGACCCTCTTTGTTGTGCTTCACGCAAGCTTGCTTACATTGTCTGCAGTTGGATTTGAGGGCCCGAACATCTACATCCGCTGCTTGATGGCTCTGCGCTCGAACATCTTCCAGGAGCAACAATTTGCTCTGTATCATCTGGTCAAGATTTCCTACGAACGGCATGACAAATTCAAGTTCGAGGGCTTCCCCGGTCTCAGCGAAGGCTTGGTCGAAAAGGTTCTGGAGATCGGCAGCTACTTTTACGACATCAAGTGGAAGGTCTCTTGGACCTCTCACTTGGCTGCCGACAGCATCGACATTCTTGATGGTAACGAAGGCACCGACGATATTCTTGAGCGCATCGATACCTTGGAGCCCAAGCAGCTTAACGAACTCATTGTCCCTGCAGAGCTTGCCGACAGGATGGTATTGATTAACGAAGCCGCCTTGACGCTGAGAAACATGTCGCTCCTTCGCGAGAATGCTGCACACCTGGCTGATTTCCTGCCCATCAAAGACCTCATCTGCATCGTCTTGAGCCTTCCCAAGCACGAGTGGGTCGTCGAGTTGAAGCATGCCATGCTCGATATTGCCGAGTCTCTTACCCCTTACCTGGAGATTGACTCTCGAGATCCCTTGTATAAGGTCCTCATGTGGCAGCTCCGTGACTCCGACGATCGCGGCGTGATCCTCACGTCTCTTCGCGCCCTTGGTCGCATTTCTATGAACTTCGAGGCCACCAATAAGCTGGACAAGGTCCCGTCTGTTGTTCTGACCAAGATCAGCGAGCTAATGTTGCTTAACGACGACGAGCTTATGGATGCCTGCCTCGATTTCCTCTACCAGTACACCGCCGTTGTCAACAACGTCGACAACCTCGTCAAGTCGCTCAACTGTGAGCATTTGGTCCAGCACTTGGTTCGCCTGCTGTCGCACAATGCCAGACGATGGCAACACGAGACATCGCTGCGGCCCGCGATCAAGCCAGCTCAGACAGACGACCCTGCTGCCATGCCTGAAGACCTGCT